TGGTACTACAAGCTGCTACCACCAGGGAAAACACATAAGTCAACTTCTTGAATTCAAGAACACATTTTTTTAATCACTTCCTTATACTATAAGGGCAGCGTTTGCACTGGTGTGTCACAATCACAGAACCTCCAGGAAACTGCTATTAAGGCATAAATCTCTTAAAGAAACAGAACCTTTTTCTTCAAAACCTAAGGTGTTTAACATGTGAAGTAAAGGATTCTTTAAACTTAACACTTAAAGAAGAAGAAAACACAGGAGTACAGATGGGCTCTGGTACTGCTTTACTTCATGTCTGTGTGCTGGAAAGTGCCTAACAGCCCAATCCACACAAATTCTATGAGCATGCTCAAAATAATTTGGACGTAGAGCATCATCCAAGCCAAGCTCACGTGTGCCCAAGTGCCCGTGCTGGCTCCCTGGACATTGGTCTTTCRGGGTGTCGAGTGCCCAGGCGTTCCTCAGCCCAGCAGGCTGGCACCAACTCGCCAGCCCAAATTCGCACAGATTCCAAGAACAATTACGCTGAATTCCAGAAACAGCGAGCTGAGGCTAAACCCATTACCTGTTATGTGATGAACTCTATTTTATTTAATCATTGCCACTACGGGGAATTATCTCAATAGCCTCACATAACACAGTTAGTGTAAAACAATATTGCAAGGGCCACTGAGCCATGAAATATGAGTGCAAGAAGCCGAAGAAATCCCCTAATACAGAAAAACAAATAAAGTTGCAAGGAGATATTTCTATGACAGGTGCTTCAATCAAAATGTTTACCTTTAGAACAAGCTCAAACAAGAGAGTGCACAGATCTGAGGCCTCAGATCCTCCTCAATCCCTGACTTTGTGATCCTTCTTATCTTCTATCGGCTCCTCGGCGAGATTGTGCAGTCTGCACAAAGCTCGGTGTGTTGTGCTTTGACTCGCCCAGAATTGCCCTTCTTACAAGAAGCTTTATTCCACTAAACAGAGAGTAAAGATGTTCTAGAGCTTAGTCTTGCAAGGCAGGCAAGGAGATGGGACCCAACAATGCTAAGAAAATGGCATCTCTATCCAAGCACTAGAAGTAGCCACCACAAGTGTCTGCAAAAAAAAAAAAAAAAAAAAAAAGTGCAAGCTACTCCAGAATGAGACACACTGCTCTTAAGATAGCCCTGTAACTCCTCTAAATTAGGTTCAAATACAAGATTTCTAAGCTCTTCAAGAAGAGCATAATTTTCACCTTTAGACTACAGGGCTATACAGATTATTCTAGAAACCTGTCAACATTAATTTGCTTTGTGCTGACACCTGTACRCCACTTATCTTGCCCGTCAGCTCACCCCAATTTACCCTGTGCTTTAGAATAAAGAGAAAAAAAAAAGTCAAATTTCAAGTCAAATGAGACATTCCTTTAAGCATCTAGGCAAAAATGGGCATAATCCTACCACCCTGTGTAAAGAATGCACCTTGACTTTGAGCATTTCTTTCATGAGGGGATTAAAGGAAAAAATCTAGTAACTCAGATCATCAGTTTATACTTATTTTTCCTTTATGATTGCTACTTTTTTGTTGCTGTTCAGTTAGCCCATGATGTATTTGTTCCCGTATAATACAAAGTGACAATCTAGAAATCTGCAGAAAGAGCTAGTGAGGCTAATTTTTGTGTCCTTAAAAAAAGGATGATGCAAAAGGCACAATGAATTGCTTACAATAATCAAACTGACTGGCTTGTAATCCTTTGGATCCGTTTTCAAAAGGAACTGAGAATTTTTTTMGAAAGAACTAACAAATATGAACTTCAGGTCATTTTAATGCAGAAAATGCACTAGAACTACAAATAATAATGGCTATTGTCATATGGTGTTTTGACAGTTACTACTTACAGTATTGATAGGTTTCTCTGCCTTACTATTTYTTTTTGCATGGCTTTACCTACTTGAGTCTTGAAATATTTCTGAACCTTTTGGAAGAGAAACTGAAGACAGAGACCTGTAATGCAACTGCCTCAGCTCAGTACAACTGAAAAAGAATCTAATCTAAATATTCTCTTTATAGATAAGAGGAGCCCTTGAGACAGCTCGCCAGCTTCATAGAGAGGGACATTTGCAAGAAATCAGACTAGATTTTCTGTTCACACTTTGTTATCCTAGTGGGAAAAAAAATATAAGAAATGTTGAAGTGACTATTTTTGTCAGATACTTTCTCCGATAGGACTGATTTAGGACTGATTAAGACTTACTTAGCACCTGTTTCTYAGGAATCAATTAAAAAAATGAAAAAATCTATACCATGTGTTTATGTTTGAACACTAACACCAGACCAGGTTAATTTTTAGCTATTTGGTGCTGAAATGGTTCAGCCATACGTAACTAAGACCTACTCACTAATCACAGGCCTTGCTAATTATGTCTCAGCATTTAAGGACCATCAGTTGACTGAAGCTGGCAGCACGAGATTATTAATAGGTTAATCTACATTAGAGCGGATGAAGAGTATTTACATCCAAGATTAGAGTTTATTTAATACTTCAAGTTTTCTTTGAAGTAGTGAAAGGCATGAAGTAAACCTACATCCAAGATCATTGAGAGTTCAGTCTTTGTTATATAAAGCAGAACAAGATATTTAAAAGAGGAGAGACTGATGATGGACACATATACAATACTACATCTACTGCCACCTCATCACAGTTGACTTGCATACATGGCAAGACTTGAGAGGTTTTACAGCTCATTACTTAATTCTAAATAAAAAGTTGGAATTGCCAAACCTCTGTGCAGTCATTACTTAATGTTTTAAGTCCAGTATGACTTGGTCACTTGAATAAGAAATATCTAATTTGAAAGTACTTGTAATGATAAATCCTTACTTGATGTTTGCTCATGCTGTACTGATTCCAAGCATGTTTTATTGAAATAAAGTAGTGGACTGAGATTCTTTATTTGTAATACTGTTAGCTTCAATCACTAAAAGTACATAGCAAGAGATGTGACAATATGTGGAACTGGCAGATAATTGATATTTGCTTGTCACTTACATATGCTTCTTGATTCCCTCTCCYGCCCATTTTAAATAAAAAGGTTGAAATATGCAAAACCTGCATCCTGTCATGTACTTGCATTCTGCAGCTGACACAGTCTCAACTTTGTAAATTTTTTTTTTTTTACCAGCTTAAAGTTTCTGGGGGAAAAAAAAAAAAGTGGCTCTTAAAAGTACATATTGTAAATAAAGCATGATGGGACTAAGGAAAYAAGAATGAAAATACTGAGATCTTTCTAGACCCAAGTTCCAACTCCAAAGTCAATAGCACAAAACAGCTTTTGGGAAGCTGCAGGTTCATGACTCCTCACATCAGACTGTACACAGCAAACTGGAAGCAGATACAAATTTGTTCTTATGTCCTGTTCTTTCCAGCCCAGGRGCTGGATGTTTCTCTCAGCTTTTTGTATATTTATGGACTTTGCTACTAAAGCAGTACAGCAAGGCCTCCCCCCRTGCTTCACAACACTCTGATTAAGTTCCCATAACCAAAGAGAATTGAAAGAAAAAGTAATGCTTTCACACTTACACAGCTTGCTCAAAAACCATTGAAAAAAGCGATGTTATATTACATAAGTGTGCAGTTATGTAGTGTTATAAGCCAGACGCCTACTGGCAGGATTCAAGGGGCCCCCTTTCTAGTCAAATCTCCTGTTACAAGAAAAGCCTCTGAGCTCTGAGTCCCATCCCACGGCAGAGCCCTGTGTGCAAGAACTGAGAGAAGGAGCATGCACACAAGTACACAAGGAAATAAAAATCACAAATAAACCAACTCCAAGGGTTATGATAGAGCTTCCACAATGAAACAAACCGAGAGCCTCAGGTTTCAACTGCCCAACAAGTAACAGGTGTCAGGACTTTTAAAACCTGCTCTCTCTATATTCGGCATGGGGCAAGCGCAGGACACACACCGGAGCTCTGCTCGCGGCCGTCTCCCCGGCTCGCACAGCTCCCCTGCCGCTGAGGACGCAGCTCCCAGGGCACGAGGGGCCCCAAAACCACCCGCCAGCCCCAAAGCAACGCTCCACGGGGAAAAGCTTGCGGGGGTTCACACAAGTGACATGCACATACACGTTCTCRCTGAAGCGCCTTTCATGCAGAAGGCCTACAACCCAGCCAGAAGCTTTTTTTTCCCCCCCTCCTTTTTTTYCCCCCCCTCTCTCTCCTCCACGAGTGGAGGAAGCTACTGTATTAGATAAAAGCCAGAGCACTCATTTGCCAGTGTACTACACACAAAAACACACCACATAGTAGGCTTAAAATTCTGGGTCAAACTGCTGCTTCTATTTAGGACAAAAAGACATTCATTCAGTAGTATAGCTTTTAAAGYATTTTTAAGAATCTGGTTTTGTCCTCCGCTCAAGTTATACATCACTTAATAAAAGAAATACATTAGTAGGAAGCCTTGGGTTGTTGTTTAAGAAGAAACGGGGCGAGGTAAAAGCATAACCTAGAAAACCTCGGCTCCCGACGGCTTCCAGGCAGGGAGCTGCGGGTTTGATGCTCCCGAGGGAGGCAGCCCGGGGCAGCAGGATGCGGCCGGGGGACGCTCCTGCCAGCCGGCCTGCACGGAGGCACCTGGTTGCCCTCCATCCACCACGCACCTTCCTCGCAGCCCGTAGGTGAGGCGCAGACAAGGCAAGGAGCGCCCCACAAGGAGCCGCAGGCGGCTGCTAAGCGCTAGGCGCAGCCCGCGGCTCCAGGCGCAGCCTAGGACCCGGCCAAAGCCTGTCCTCTCGCTGCGCTCCCTCACGGGGGCCGGGAGGAAGCGGCCACGTCGTGGCTTGGGCGCACATTTAAGAAAGGGAAAAAAAAGAAATCTCAAGTTCTGCAGCCTCGACGCTGCGGATTTGCAGCACGCTTGCCGAGGCGGAGTTTCTTCCCCTAAACACGTTAGTGGGGGGAGAGAGTGGAAAGAAGGGAGGAAGGGGCTGAGGAAGGAGCGGCCCCGCGGCGCCGGGCGGGCCGGCCGCGCTCACCCGCGTTGTAGAAGCGGTCCAGCACGGCCGTCTCGCCGAAGTCCAGCTTGCCGAAGTGCAGCGTCTCCAGCGCGGCGCCCACCGCCTCGCACGCCTCGCGCAGGCTCTGCAGGGCGCCGCTCTCCGCCGCCACGAGCGGCCCCTGGCTCGCCTCGTTGATCACGTAGGTGACCGCGGTCCTCCTGCCGCCGCCGCCGCCC